AAAATGAATATCAACTGAAAATACTTATTTTGTTTCGGTTCTTGATTCCATCATAGATACAAAACAACCTATACCCTGGGAATGGCAGACCGGGTAAGTAAATAAAATATTTACATTCCTGACCGACTCCTTTTCAAATGCAAACATCTAGTTCAGAGGCCTTTCTGTCTTCTTCATGTTGCTATGTATCCATGCTAGTTTAATGTTTCTTCATATAATTTCAATATTATGTAAGAATTTGCAACTGCTATTTTCAGTTTTTACGTTTGACGTTGTCGCCATAGTACTATTTTTATTGGTAGCTCTATTGAACTGGATTTCTATACCAAGCCAATCTTTTCACAAATGGCCAATCTGTAAGCTATCTGAGGTTCATATCAAGAATATAATAGAACCCATTCGATAAGACCAGGACAGCTTACGCTGGCTTTAATCGTTTGTGACAAAATCAATTAGTTGGCGGCTCCAGTTAAAGTTTATGTCGTGTTTGTGAGGGATGGACCGAAACTTCATCCCTGTTCGATTAGGATGAATTCAGATTTGTCACATGTGTTATGCATACAATGAGAATTGGTATTTTGAGTTGATTGGATGTTCTGGCCCAAAAGGGGTCTTCCTCAAAATCAGAGTTTGGAAAAATCCAAGTCTTCATGGAGAGGAGTATGATCCCCAATTTGGTTAACTGTTGTCGTTTGGTCTGTCGAAATTGAAAGGCAGATGTTAATGGGGTTCTTTCTATTACAAAATATTTGCCGTTGCTGTTGCTAATAACTTTAAGTAGCACATACTTGCTGGATTGTTTCTCTTCTTCATCTTCGTCTATGTACGTTGGCATGGTGGCTATTGCAGTTCTGAATATATGTGTGTATGTGTGTGATTTGTATGGCGGATATTGAGTCTCAACTTTTTGAGGATTATCATATTTGACACAATTGAGTAGGGAAAAATCAAATGAAAACTAAAGCGGCTAACGAGAAAAAAATGTCTCACAAAATGCATAAATGTAAACGGTTTGTACTTTCGAATATTTAATTTGGTTTTGTACATTCGATTTTGTCTTGGGAAATTCGCCAGTTAATATGAACAATGAATTTGTGAACTTGCATCACGAAAATGGGATATCGGATTTTCGTATTCAAGTGAAGAGCATTCGACTTAATCGTTACTTCGGTCTTTAGTGTGACACGGCATGAATGCGAAACAACGTAAAACGCTTCGGTGTGTAAGCCTAGCTTGATATGTATCGATAAAATAAAAATTGTAGATTTGGATAGTTTCTCATTTCGGTTCAATTTGGAAATCTATATATCTCCCTGTGTACTCGGATGGTGTGGACTTGTGTGAATTTTTATTCCTTTATCGATTCTTATCGGAATTTTGGATTACGTTGTTTAACACTGCTGGATGGAGATGATATACATATCTCTGTTTGTGCTGTTCCTGTTCTGTTTTGCCTTTCAGGTGGCTCCTTAAGAGGAGCTACTACGTGTGATAAACTTGAGGACTGTCCTTTTTCCTGAGGAAAGAGAACGATTGTTGTAAATAGATGATGATGTTGTTGTCCTGTTTTACGTTCTACAATTTGTTTTCTTTTTTTTTGTTTGTTTTGTTTTCATTAAAAAATAAACATTTAAATAACAAAAAAAAAAATATATTATCACACTTCTTTGCATGTTGTTAAATAATTTTACAACAGTACTTGGCACAACATTAAAATTTGATTTTTCTCGTCTAAGTTTAGTTGGAATCTCTTCCAAATTGGAATAAACAAAATAAAAATCCGCAAAAACCTTGCAAACAGTTAAACAAAATAACACACTTATTATTCCAGCCAACTTCGGTTGGCATTGATCCTGTTGTTTTAATAGCCTCCAAGTCTTATCGTAATCATTTTGTTTCATTTTCTGATATTGGGACTTCGAAAATGTGTAAATGAGCAACAAGCATGGTTGTTTGTCCCACAATATTTATCGTCATTGTCATTTTCATCATCCTCTAGAATAGTTTTGCTGCCAAAAATAGTTGTATACACTTTAAAAAAAATTAAAATTCTCTCAATTTCGTACTTTTTTAAAAAAAGTTTCAACAAAATATGTATGTTTCATATCGCTTTCCTTTTTGTTTTGTTTTTTGTTTTTTAATTATACTTTAGTATAACTTCTTGTATTATAAATATGTATATACTTTTAAAAATATATAATAATAGTATGGTATGCCTACTTGGTAAATAATTATTATTTACAATTTTAGTTTTTATAAAAAAACGTCATTCCTTTTCTTGTTCTTGTTTATCATCATAAAAAAGGTATATACGTAATATTTTCTCAAAAGGAAAAAAAATAAAAACAATAATATTAAAAAAAAAAAAACTTTGGGAGGAGGGTTTTTGGTAGCGGAAATGCGACACCCTTCCGTTCTCTTCTTTTTTCTTATATTTTTAACATCTTACTCTAAATACCCATTAGTACGATTCTTATAATGTCAATCGAAACGAATTCAACATTTTGTTGTTCATTAAATTATTAAACGAAATAATTTTTGGAATTTTTCAATTTGGTATTAATTATTTTTTTTTGTTTTAGTTTTGTTTTAAATTTTGTTAAGTTCTTTGTTGTTTGTTTAACGGTACAAATGCATTTTTCTTAACAATTATTTTGCTTCATGATGTTGGTAGCTGTTTTGATGGGTAAAATAGTTGGTTGCTGGTTGGTTGTTGTTCAACTTGGTGGTAAGTGTTTGTAGTGGTAGATTTTACAGCCGCCTTGCACACGCATGCTTTCAGCTTGCAAAACTAACACAACAGAGTGAGTTGGTTCTGACGAGCAAAGTTTGTCATGTGTTCGGACGGATATAAACAATTGGTCATAGCATAACTATTGGGGTTTCTGTCATTTGTTTGGATGTTGTGTTGGGTTCATATGGAAAAACTCTATATTCTGGTCCTTTTGTTTTCGAACTGAAACGAATTGCACACACACTCACACTGGCTGTGGACGTGCTTTGTGTATGCGGCGCGTGGTCATATTATTGATTTAATCCACATATTTGCCGATAGACGGTCGTTTAGTATACACCAGTGTGGGATATAAGTTGAAAAAGTTGCATTTGTCATAACAAAAATTGGATAAGTTTTTCCAAATGCATCGAAGTTTGTTACAAAATATTTGCATTTGATTTCAAATTCTTAAATACATTCCAAAGTGATTTTTTGTTGGTGACACATTCCCACAGACAATTATTGGTGTACTTGTTGTCTTGTCCATCGAATGCATATGTGGGATGATAGGACTTTTAGTTCTAGAGAAAATTCGTTTTGATATTTCAAACTTTTAGACCTGATTTTTCAATAGTTGTTTCTTCGGCATTGCAAAAACTATGCAAAGTGGTTGTTGTTGATATTATTATTACTAACTTTTGTGTCAGTATTATTTTAATGTTTAAATTATAATTTGTTATTAAATAGTGAATGTTTTCTTTTTCTTTCTTTAGGTTATCATTTAAATGTTTTAGAAGATAATGCACTTACATTGAGGTATTTAAATTACTTGTTTATGTTTAAATTTAATTCTTTTAATGTTTCTCTTATTTTTTGTGTTAAGTCAATTGTAGGTTGGGCATTTTATTCTCTTATTATGTTGTTCAAAAGAAATTGTTTATTTCAAAAAATTTAGATTTGCCAAAAAACGTTGTGTCAATTTTGTTTATGCCGAAATGTTGTTTGATATCAAAATCATAATAATAATACAAAAAAAGAACTTGTCATACTACTAGGGGATGTTTGTTATAAACAAAGTTTGAAGTGCTCATACTACTAGGGGATGTTTGTTATAAACAAAGTTTGAAGTGCTTTTGTCTCGACAAAACTGAACTTGAGCTAAATTTAAGGATTTTATTCTTTCATTTAAGCTAAACAATTTTATTAATCTATATTTAAAAAAAATGTATGTATAAATGTATAAAATGTAAATAATAGGAATAACTTTCTGTATTTTTAACAACGGAAACTACTTTACTATATTTATTAAAAAATGGAAATCTATATTTAAAAAAAAAATAAAACAAAAACATAAAAATGAGTGGGTAAATGTTTGTATAAAAAAGGCTATTGTAAATATTAATATTTGATTGTTTGATGCTCTTGGGATATGGTTAAGTTACAAAAGGGGACCATCGATGGAGGGGGCATGTACATGCACATTTCCATCTTTGCTGGCCCCCCTTCCATGGCTATCTATTGAGGTTCTAGGTTCTATTGCAAAAAATGTCATTTTTAAATATCATTAGTATCTCTCTATATATTTATATGTGTATCTTCTTTTCTTCCTGTTGTATTTTCTTCTAAATAACAAACCTAACTCATAAAAAAATTAAAAACAAAATGTAGATTCTTATTTAGTTTTAACAAATCAATTAACATTTCAGCACCGTTTTAAGGCAAACACTTATTTCTTCTCTTTCTCCTCTACGTCGTCCTCGTCGTCGTGGTGGTTGTTTTTTTTTCTTGGTTATTGAAAACAAACAATACTAGAGGTTTGTTATGTCTTGGAAATCTTTTGTATCCAGTCAATGTGGAGGTGTGGTGATTTCTTTTGAAAGGGGTAGTGTGTCGAGCATATAAAAAAGTATCTATAGAATAGTCCCCTACACGAGCCTACTTGGTATTTTGGGGGAAAATAAAAAGGCTTAATAGATTTCAAATATAATTTCACTCTGATATTATCAGCTATTTCATGTAGCAAATTGTTTAATTTTCTTACTCTACACCATTTCCAGATGTAATTCGAGGAACTACTAATTTTTAAAATAATGTTTTTTTTTTCAATTCTTCCAATTACATCCACAAATGGTGTAGAGGACATTCATCTGAATATGTTTTTTGTTTGTTAAATTTTAGTTACCAAAGTCCAAGACATCAAAGAATATTATTTTTTGTTCTTCATTTTTTGTTTTTTTTTTTTTTTTTGGAAAAAATGCCAAAATGTTTTATTCTTTTGTTGTGGTTTTAATTTTGAATAAGCAAGCTTTTATTGGGTGTTTTCCATTTTTCCAAAAATAGTTGAAGCTATTATTTGATTTCTATATATGTATGTATGTATAAATATTGATGCGAGTAGGAGTGGGGGGGGTGGGGGGATTAGTTTTAATTTTCATGTTAGACTTCTAAATAATTACGACGGTTGGGTATAATTTGGAAAAGATACGAGTGTTGTTTCATAATAATAAGCTTCAACGTAGTGGATTCTACTGTGTGAGAGAAGACCGGGTTATTTATGCATGTACGAGTATATCCTTTGTGAAATGTGTTATTTTTCTTTTCTCTGTTTCTCTGTGATGTGAACTTTCAACTCAATTCTATATCAAATAGTAACATTCATTTTACACACTCATTATCTTACAGATCGATCGATCGGTCTAACGGCTTACGAATAGAGACGATTGATACCTAAAACAAGAGAGTGATTTGGCTGGCGGTGGTCTATAATGGGGTTTATCTGGTTGTTGTTTCTTTCATTCTTTCTCTTTTTTTGTGTTTTTTTTTCTCTTTTCTTTTCTTTTGTTATAGTAAATATTTATGTGTAGTATGTAGGAGGGGCGCGTTATTTCAAAAATGTAAACGAAAAAAGATTTGTTTTTTTTTTTAAATTGTTAAAATAAAAAATAAATTTTAATAAATGCTTTTACACCCACAGTACTCTACGGCTTCTTACTGATTTGTACTCGCACCCTGCTGCGGTTGCTGCTGCTGTTGTGATGGTTGTTGCTGCTGCTGCTGTTGTTGTTGCGACCCACTGCCTGATGAGCTTTGAGCAGCTTGCTGTTGTTGTTGTTCTTTGGCAGCTTTTTGTTTTTTGGTTACAGGAGGAGGATTTGTAGACAACATCATGGCTCTAATGCGTCTTTGAGCCGACTGGAATGGAAAAGAAAACGACATGTTAGGAGTCTGCACGCAGCCATTTGGATCGCTCACACTTACCTGAACACTATAGAATGGACCAATAATGTGCACGGGCGTCTCTTCATCTCCACCCGATGTTGGCGCCAGCGCATGTTCGGGCAATTTGATGACACTGCCGGTGACACGTTGCAATTCTCGTACATTCTGACCACCCTTTCCAATAATACGACCAACCTTCAAGAAAAGAACAAAAGCCTTAAGATTCGATCTCTAACGAAATAAAGTCGCCGACTATACCTGTGAGCTGGCCACTAAGATTTCTACAGTTAATCGAACATCATCTGTGCCACTCATGAAACCTTCCTCGCGCATCTTCTCGAAAATCATATACTGAGCCTTCCACTGGCCCTCCGGCGTACCGACAATGGTGACCTTGCGCTCTGTCTGCTGTTCAACTGGCTTGTCGTTGTCCAATGGCGCAATCTTCAGCGAGGCATTCGAGAAACGCATTATGCTGCGTATGTGAGAGCCCTTAGTACCGATGATGGCACCCACAGCATTGTTCGGTATGTAAAGGTACGTAGTTTCCTGCATATCATTGGGGAAGACGGGTGGCACAACAGCGGCGGCAGGAGTCTTCGACATGGGGAAGCCGGGGCAGGGAGCATAAGGCATACTGGGATTGAAGATCATGCCATTGCCGGGTGTGGACATCATGGCCATTGGCGGCAGTCCGGGGAACATTACACTCTGCGGTGCCATTGCTTGCAAATCATTTTCGTAGCTTTGTCGCAGCTTTGAACTGATCTGGTTTTCGGCACGGGACATATTGTCAATGGCTCCCTTGACGGTTATGATGCGTTCCAAATTGAAGCTGCTGATGTCGTTGATGGAACTGACGGTGATCTTTGTGTCTGTCTCCTGCATGATGCGCTTGATGGTGTTGCCGTTCTTGCCAATGATGCGGCCGATCAAATTGTTGTGTGCGAGGATTTTCAAACAGATCTCCCTGCAAAGAATACAGAAGTTATTGACTACGCCCTGCGTGTTGTCGACGTGCGAACACTTACCCCTTGTTTGTGGCATTGGCCTCTTGTTGCATAACCTCTAGAATACGTTTACAAGCATTTGTACAATTCTCAGGGTTGCCATAAATGGTAATGGCCTTTTCCAGGGAGCCGACATTCTCCTTTCGGTGGACATCGACTCGGGCACGACTTTGTTGTGTGATCGTGCGTATGGTGCTGCCTTGGCGTCCAATTATGGCTCCAACCATTTCACTTTGCACCAAAATGCGGAGCGGGAAGTCCGCTTGGCGTCCGGGACCTGGCATGCCTGGATATGGATTGCGTGGATTGCGCTGAGTGCGACGTTGGTTTTTATCCAATTGCTCGGCGTGCAATTTGTTGCCTTCGAATTCGACACCGTTCAAACCACCAGCGGCTCTGCAAGAATCAAAGAAAAGAAGAACGAAAGCTATTAGAAATCCATCTCCGCCAATTCAAATGCTTGTTCGTGAATTGAGAACACTCGAATTTTTGATGGAAATAACAAAAATTTAGATTTTCAACGACTTTGGGTCCAATGGTTTGTTTCAATTGTTTGTGGACGTTATGATTTCAGAACACTGGGGAATGGTGTTTTTGACTTTGACTCAACCATAAAAGGGGGTTCCCAGTCATTTGCAACCTGTCCCCCCTCCTCTCCCGATACTGACCACCTTTCAATCATCAATTGAAGGATCTACTATCTCGGATCAGTAGTCAAGCCAAAAACCCATTAACCTTTTCAATTTCTTCTCAATAACATATATGCCAAATTGTTCAGTTTCGTTTTCCCAATCTCCCTGCCGGCGGGACAACCGTGGTGTTCGACTGTGTTCTTCTTCATTACGAAATGTAAATGGTTGCTTGTATGTATGTATGTGCATGAATGTACCTTTGAGCCTGTTCGTGGTTCTCGAATGTTATGTGAACCGTTTGTGTCTGTGGGTCCTTACTAGAGACAGCCTCACATTGTTTGACGATGCCATATGGCTTCAAAAGAGGTTCGATGTCTTGGAATCGAGTTTGCAGCGGTATGCCGCTAATAATAATCTTTGACGTCGTAACACTGTGAACAAGAAAAGAAAATTGTGAAAAAAAAAACCAGAAAGAAAGAAAACTTCTGAATTTTGTTCTTAAAATAAAGACACAGACACACACACATACATACATACACATGTAAACAATGTCACATTACATACGAACACATGTAAATATGTATATGGGTTTCTAGTTGGATAGTAGTTTATGCGTGGGGAGGAAATGTAGAGTTATAGGGTAATCAGATCTACATGAATAAATTTAAAGAGGGGGAGGGGTTGGGGGAGTAACCGGTGAAAGCAACAACTACCTACCGACAAATGAAAGCAGAAAAGCTCTACATGGATTACCTCAATTGGCAAAAGATTGAGGTAATTCAGAATGTAATTCGACTTAGCGTGGGACCAAAAGTGTCGCAAAGATGTCTTGAATCGAAAAATTCAAAAATCGCAAATGCAAGTGGAGTGTCAATACATCAAAGTGACCAGGTTTAGAGTCAGTTTCAATGGGACTTTCATTATATGTACGATTTCCATTAAATAGTACATGCGATTAAGGTTAGGTAAACGGCTCAGAAAAGATGCGAATTTTACAAGGGTGCTTTTTTTTAGAATAATATCTATGATACTTATCATCGCCTTATTGTTTAAAACGAGAAATATCAGTTTATAATTGGCGAACGAGTATTAAATAGTTAAATAAAATTCTTATTAATGACTCTCTATGAGCCGACTCAATAAGAAGACGTTAAGGTACTATTTCATTCTCCTCTTCCTTAACTAGTGGCCAAATATTCGAGATCGAAAACTTTTGAGAATGATCCCAAAAAAAAAAAAATTTGGTTCTGGTTTGGTTCTGGATTTCATAGAATCCAATTTATAACGGTTGGAAAATATTCCCGCCAAAACCATGTTGCACATTTATTAACTTTTTAAACTTAAATAGAAATGCTTACACCACAGAATCGGATACCTACTTTGGGCGAAAACGTGAAATAACAAACCGAGCCACAAACAAATAAATGAAAAATGCAAATCTAAGCAAAACACAAACAACAAGCCACCAAATTAATTTAAAAACAACACCAGCAACAACTCGAACTTACAAAAAAACAACTTCAGAAATGACTCTACACAAACACATTGATTGCATTGCCGGCAGTCTGTGATTGTGAGTGGAGCGGGGGGACGGTGTTCAGAAATGAACAACAATAATCCCAAAATGTATAAAATTCCAGGAAAAACAGCACCAGCGCAGCAAAAATATTCGCAAGTTCAATATACTTCAGAAACTCCACTTCGCATACATCCGTAAATATGCATGCCCAAGACGACAGACATCATCTATACAGACATACATACATATGTATGTATGTATGTATGCAGACATTCTTTTGGCCCCACTTTTGCCTGGTTAAGTCCAAGTGCCTGATAGACTGACTAAAAACCGATACATTTTCTGATTGTTGTTGGTGTTGGTATTTCGATGATCATTATCGCGCTGGAGTCGACGATGATAATGACGACAATGCCTCTGTTGCACTAGCAAAAGTCGATAAAAATATTTATGCCTTGGTGTGCTTCCACTAAACTAATGCCGCGGCATGCTGCAGTGCCAAGCACTGAAACCACATCCTCTGGAATTTACAGTAAAAAGAACGTTAAACTTCATGTGAGTTCCCACTGCTGGAATCTCTAGGCAGTGGAGCGACAGTGTGCAGCATCTAGGTCGTCTGTCTACTAGTTCTTCTCCCCCTGCTGCCCGTCACAATCCGCTGTTTAAGTTGTCGGTGACAGACAGAGCATAGCTAAACTGTACTAACAGACAGACGCACATACCTACATATCTAAGTCAAGAGATGATCTTCATGAGGTTACGCGCCGCAAAGAGTCTTCCAAACACACAGACAAACAATAATAAGGCAAATAATGAACAAGTTACCAGAAATGTACATAAATGGGTATTTGGGAATAATTTTGAATTAGGATTCTAATTCATTTCCGGGAGCAAATTTTTAATCCGCCCTACAATTTTAAATTGAATTGCATAACTACTAAAGGAGCGATAGTTTGCTATATCAGGAAGCCAGGAAGAAAGGGAATGGAATGGATAGTAAGAATGTCAAAACAATATGAAATCGATGTGAACATCCTCCAATTTTTCCTTGATCTACTTTGTGTGTTAAAATCATGTTCTATTTTGAAAAAGCCAACAAGTTTAGCTAGTTTTGGGATACAATGGATTAATACATGCTTGCAGATTCTGGGGTAAACCTATAGTGTGTTCTTTCTTGATGGTAACTCTTGACGTTAGCCCCCGATGGGCGGGATGTGAAGAAACGATATGCCACTTTTTGTTTTGGCATATATCTACTAATAGTATCATTGGTGTTTTTTTATTCTTTTCCACAATTCTCTGTGGCTCAAAAACAAAACAGAGACAGAAATTACTAGCCTCTGCGATCAACATCACCACAGTCAGTTCCATGATCCGGTACTACCGGAGTGTTAATCTATCTCAATATCATAGCAGAGACAGAAATTACTAGCCTCTGCGATCACCACCACCACAATCAGTTCCATGATCCGGTACTACCGGATTGTTAATGGACCAAATCACTTTCTGTGAGAAAACAACCGGTCATTCAAGAAATATAGATAAACTATATATTTTTCAAGCTTTGGTGGGCCTCAGGTTGACCTTCTCTGCTTGTGGTATGCGAGTGCAACATCCGCAAATCAGACATATATTTTGTTTTTCTTAACTTCAGTCTTGTGTTATTATTGTTGCTGTTGTTGCAACGTTCCTGTGTTGGTGGTTACTGTTTGTGTTTCCTCGCCGAATAAGAATGTGAGCAATCCGATTCGTGGCGGCCGCAGCATCCTATTCATCATCATCATCATCATTGCCATATTTTCCAAGAGCTTCATAAACATAATATCAACTGAAACTGAACATGGCCAGTGCGAGTTCTTTGCGTTGCGTGTGGACCAACAACATTACCAGACCAAAACTAACCAGCAACAACAACAATCGTGCCATCAACTCTCAGCATGGCCAAGAAATGCCGTCGTCTGCATCATTATCATCCAACGGCCGTAGCCGCAGTAGCAGCGGCAGCATCTTTTAGTCAGTCAGGAATGCGATGATGCGCTGCGGTACGTCGTGTCTGATTCTTTTTGTTTTTTCCTCAATGAGTTTTCTGCAGTTTGGAGCAATGGGAAATTCCTATGCTTATGCGTAAAAGGAAGGGAGTGACGACGACATCATGGACTGTTATAAAATCGATTCATAGTGTTGTGGGTTTTTTTCCTAATCGCTGACAACATCAGAGGAAAGAGAAATAAGAGTGGAAACTTGTTTACATTTACACTACACTCCGCTCCACATGCCAGGAATTCTTCTATGTCTTCCGTTGCCACTCTGTTAATAAACTCCGTCCGAGTCAATGTACCACGTACGGGAATGTGCGTTTGTTTGTGCCCAGTATTTTATGTTGATTCTCAGGTCCAACTTGGTAAAAAGTGGGAGCTCAGTTTCTGCATATTTGTGTATGTTGGCCATTTGGAGAGGAGGCCGTGCTATTTGTTATTGTCGCAAAATTCCCAGTAACAAGACGTTGTTGTTTACCGCCAGCGAACCGGCCTGCCTGCCTGCCTGCCAATACAGGTATTTGAGTATGCAGACGGTGTCTTCAATAAATGGCCAAATCCAATCGTACACTGGCTGTGTTATTGTGTCAGATGATGCCCAAGACTTCAAGACTTCTTGCAGTCACATCAATTCCCCCCACCCTCTAGTCCGGACCTTAATGTTATGAATAGCTCAGAGTCGGCGTTGAACAGGGAGTGGGGGAAACAAAAGCTCATTCCAACGGTAGGTCTCTTTGAAGACCCAATCAACGAAGTTTTGTTCGGAGTCATCACCACCACTACCACCAACACCAACATGACGGTACGTCGTCATTCTGGCGCTGTTTTCTTTTTCTTACTGTGTGTGAGCGAGGACCAATAAATATGGGAACCCGGTTGAGGGTATGCCTTGCACAAATAGACTTTAAAAGTAATCTAAACTTCATACTTAATTAAAAAAAAAAAAAAACAAAGTGCCAAAATATCTTCGAAATGCTTTTCCAGGAATTTGTTTGAAACTTTTTTGTGGCGGTTTCTTTTCTTTGCTTCGAACGCTTTACGGCTGCCTTTATTTCTGCTGAAACCAGACAACAAATAACAAGGCATCCTCTGCTCATCGGTGGTTATGAGTTGGACATTCAAGGTACGTTCAGGTTACGCACCTTCCTGCATACACACGCATGTTAATATGATCCTATGTGTGTGTTTTTTGTTGTTTGTCCTTGTGTGCTACATGTCTGGCCAGAAAAAAATCTGGCATTTTTGGTGGGAATCAAAGAAAGCATAATTTTACGGTTTCATTGTTTATGTTTGTGTCAGTTGTTGCATTTTTTTGAGAGTTCTGCACAGTGTAACACTTTTAGACTGAGAATGGATTTAAATCAGAAATCACTTGAGGGCTTGGCCCGCCTTCCATCGTAACTTCCTTTGCAAAATTTGAAAATATTAGCAAGACGAGCAGTTTTAGGATCCTAAGCCCATTTCTAAGTTCTTCATTTAGTGATTTCGATCAATTTGATTTAAATCTTGACAAGGACATCAGTCCCATCTATTATTGAAGGGTGTTGAAATATCAACCAGACCAAATTAAAAGAAAAAAAAAACACATCAAAAGTACTCACAAACATGCATCAGAACCAACAACGTATTGAAAAGAGCAATGCAAACTCAAAACACCACGCATACTCGTCGTATGTCACTTGTGCTGCAAAAACAAAAACAACTGCTGCTGCTCTCCGCTACAGAATACCGACGGGAGTACAAAGTGCATTTGGTCATCAACAACGACAACAACAACAAACCAGGGGAGGTGGCAATGTGCATTGGTGGCGGCAAACAAAACAAAAGCGTGCACTCTAAGTGCTGAGCTGCACTTTCAGCCTGTTGCATGTACAAC